GGGGGGGGCTGTCTGCCCCAGAAGCTCCTCTTGGCCCTCCTGTGACTGATTGGGAATCCGGGAATGAGTGTTCTGGAAAAGTCCCTCCCCCTAGAGTGAGACCACATCAGTCAGCCTGCTGGCATGCTACCCTTCCATTTAACACTGTGAAGGCTCCCACAGAGGCCCTCCTGCCAGGCCCAACTAAACCTGCTGTCAAATGGCCTCGACCCCTGCCTGGCCTCTGTCTGCAACTGGTGAGGGCAGAGGGAGTGCGGGAGTCTCTTGTAGCACAGTGGTTCTCAACCGGGGGGTGGGTGGATTTTGCACACGATGAGACGTTTGGCAATATATCTGGAGACATTTTTGATTGTTTTGATTGGGGGTTTTGAGGATGTGCTACTGGCATCTAGTAGGCAGAGACCAGGGATGCTGCTAAATATCCAAAAATGCCCGGGAAAGTCCTCCACAACAAAGAGCTATCGTGTCCGAACCGTCAGCAATGTGTGGTTGAGAGACCCTGGTATTTGGTCCTTTGGCTATCAGGAGTTTGGGTTTGGGGGATGGGAGATGGGACATGAAAAGAGAGGCCTATCACCAACCGTAGGTCTCAGCCCAAGGACCTAGGCCGGCCTTCACCTAGCCCCGTGGTTTACAAACTGGGTCCCTAGAGGCTCCCAGTTCTCAACCAGCTGGACATTGGAGTCATCTGGGCAACTTTAAAAACTACCTGTTGCTGGGCCTCATCTCCAGAGATTCTGAGTTTAGTGGTCTCATATGGGGCTTCAGTTAATCTAACTTACAGCCAGGGTTAGAACCACTGTTTGGGGGATCCATTAAGGTCCTGGGGATGGAGAGGGGAATGCTTACCCCTCCCAGGAGAACACCTTCTATTTTGTTTTACACATTCTAGTCCAGTCCTTTCATTTTACACCAAAAAATGAGACCCCGAGATCACACAGCCAGGTCGTACAGCTTGCCCGAGATCATACAATGATTCATACATTCATTCATTTGACAAATACTAAGGGATTGCTGGTCAGGTGCCAGGCAGCGTTGCTGCCCGTACTGGGGTGAGAAACCCTCTCCTGACTGCCCAGGCACCACAGCTCTCCTCTGGTTTGCGGTAGCTGCCTCACACCCTCTTAGGCTGTGCCCTCTTTCCAGGCTCAACATTTTGGAGCGGTCCTTGTTTTCACACCCAACGTGCAGTGGGTCAACCGTTCTGTCCATTCCTGAAGGATCTCTATCCCATCTGTCTCCTCCTCCGGCTCTATGGCCCCCAGCCCACTCTAGAACCCTCTCGTCATGGACCCCAGTCTCCCAGATGTGCATCTGACTCTGCCCACGCCCCTCAAATCCACTGCACCCTCAGTGGCCACACTGGTCTTCTTAAAACTCCACATCGCTCAAACATCCTGTCCAGTATCAAATGATGCTTAAAAACGTGGGCTCTGGAGTTGGGCTGCCCAATTTCAAATCCTGGCTCTGGTTCTTACTGGACCTTGGGAAAGTCATTTCATTTCCCTGTTCCTGTTTCCTCATGTTTTAAATGCAGATCATATATTTCCTTGATTCCATGGCTTTTTTTTTCTTTTTTTCCTGTTTACATTTAAACATCTCTGAAGAACCCATCTTAAATTGAAGACACGTCATGGCATAATGGTATATATTACAATTGATGATATCTTAAATTCAACCCAGCGGTACTGACCTTACAGAATTACTGCGAGGTCCAAATCAGTTCATATAAAATCCCTGGGACTGTGCCCAACGTGTAATGGGCCCTCATTAAGTCTCAGCCATTACAATCTCTTACTTAAAACCTTCCCTAGTTCTTCCTTGCCTGCAGAGTATAGAGTTGGCCCTTGACCCTGACATTCAAGGCTCTCCATCAGCAGCTCCCACCATCTTATATAGTCATCAGGCCAGAACTGTCCAGACACAGAACTGGAATCTCCCTTGAATGCCCCACAGGCATCTCAGACTCCACACGTGTCCACCTCCCTCAGACACGCCTTCCTCCTGACCCCACCCCCTCCTGGGATCTCTCAGGCTTAATGGCAGTGCCCACAGTGTCATGGGTAGCCTCTTCCTCTCATGCCATGTGCCCACTTCTTACCTGTAGGTGATCTACCTTGGTCATAATTCTTGGAATCTGACCCCCAGGTATCCCTGGAGCTTTATCTCAGCTCTGCCCACCCCACAGCCATACTGAGTCACTTCTAGTTGTCCCAACACTGTTTCCTCATGTCTGCTCGCCTTTGTCCAGTCTTGTTCCTCTACTTGGAATGACTGTCTCCTTTGGCTCAGATGTCACCTCTTCTGAGAGGCCTTCTCTGAGCTCCTGAGTCAGAATGGCATGAGTCTGCTCTAGGCATCTCTCATGTGGCACCTGTTACATCAGGTGGTGGTGTTTCTTTACACATCTTCCCTCTACACCACGCATTCCTCTCTAAAGCCACTGCTTAAGGTTTTGTGTCTTTGTTTCCTCAGAGCCTGGCACATGGGAGATGCCAGGAAGTGTCCCTGATGACTCCAGCACCTTCTCTGAACCCTTGTGATATGCCTTCCCCATATAAGCCCTTCATGAGCACTTAACACAGGAGGCTGGTGGAGTTTGTGCTTTTTTTGTGCGCATAAGGCCAACCGACCGCAGTGTGGCCTGCCAGGGCAGGGATGGTTTTTCTTAGCCCCTCACCAAACGGGAGGCTTCTGTGGGTGTGGCAGTTTTAAACAATGGCCCCACATTCTTTGACATGCCTCCCACCTAGAGGTAGGTTCTATGTATCCTTCCCTTGAACCTGGGCTCCATGACTAGCAGGTCAATTGAATGTGGCAGAAGTTACAGTGTGCCACTTTCTGAGCCCAGGCCTTAAGAATCTAGCACCTTCTGCCCTCTGCCTTTTGGGACACTCACTCTGGAACTCAGTCACTCATGCTATGTGGATGCCCAGCCTACATCGAGTCCACATGGAGGACTTCCCTGGTGGTCCAGTGGTTAAGACTCCGTGCCTCCACTACAGGGAGCACAGGTTCAATCCCTGGTCCGGAAACTAAGGTCCTGCATGCCGCGTGGTGCAGCCAAAAACAGAGTCCTCATGGAGGGATTCAGCCAAAAGCCAGCATCTACTGCCAGACGTGTGAGTGATAACACAGCTGTCAAGTCACCCCCAGACTTTGTTTTTCCACCCAAGGCCCCAGACATAGTAGAGCAGAGATAAACCATTCCCACAGTGTCCTGTTGGAGTTCCAGACACTAAAAGTCCAGAGCATAATAAAATAGTTGTTTTAATGCCACTAGGCATTGTTGCTCAACAATAGATAACTGGAACAGTGGGGCAGAAAAAAAAAGGGCCTAGGAGCCGGCACTAAAGGCCCTGGGTTGGGACTTCTCTGGAGGTCCAGTGGTTAAGAGTCTGCGCTTCCACTGCAGGGGACTCGAGTTCAGTCCCTGGCTGGGGAACTAAGATCCCGCATGCCGCGAGGCACGGCCAAAAATAATAATAATAAAATAAAATAAATAAAGGCCCTGGGTTGACGACATTGTTGGCCCTGCCACTTCCTAGCTATGTATGTACATGAGAAACATCACTTCACCAGCCTGAGCCTCAGTCTTCCTACCTGTAAAATGGAGTTAATGATGGCTAACAGATATGGAGACTACATGCCAGACATCATTCTAAGCATTTGAAGCATTGTATTAGTTACCTATAGCTGTGTAACAAATTATTCTAAAACTCAATTGTCTAAAACGATAAAGCCTTATTATCTCACAGTTTCTGTGGATCAGAAATTCAGGAGCAGCTAAAATGGGTGTTTCTGGCTCAGGGTTTCTGATAAGGGTGCAGTCAAGATGTTGGTCAGGGCTGCAGAAATCTAAGGGCTGGTGGATCAGCTTCCAAGATGGCTCACTCACATGCCTGGCAAGTTGGTGCCGGCTGATGGCAGGAGCCTCTCCATAGGGCTGCTTGACTGGCCTCAGGACATGGTGGCTGGCCTCCTTCAGAGCGAGTGACCCAAGAGAGGAAGACAGAGCCCACACTGTCTTTCATGACCTAGCTCAGAAGTCACACGCCATTCTTTTCACAATATCCCATCGATTACATGGATCAGCCTTATTCATTGTGGGAAGGCACAGCAGTGTGATACCGGGAGGGCAGTTCGTTGGGAGCCATTTTGGAGACTGGCTACCACACACATAGACACAGTTAATTCTCCAATAACCCCGCAGACATGAGATACTCCTAACAAGCTCATCTTGAAGATGAGGAAACAGAGGCATAACAATGTGAAGTCACTTGCTCAGATTTCTAGGATGGTAAGTGGTAAAGCTGGGATTCAAACTCAGGTAGTCAGGCTCCAGAGGTGAGATCTCAGC